TTGCCAGGCAGGCGCTTTGCCGCTGAGCTAAATCCCCAGCCCCCCACCAGCATTTCTTATTGGTTGATTTCTTATGACAGCCATTCTTTCTGGGGTGAGATGCAATCTCACGTTGTTTTAATTTGCACTTCTTGAATGACTAATGATATTGAACATTTTTCTCATTTATCCATTTGCCATTTGTATTTCTTTATCCTAGAAGTATGTATTCATCTCAGATGCCCACTTTTGCATTGGATCTTTGAATTTTGGGGGCCTGATTTTTTTTTAATTCTTTATATGTTTTAGACAGGAGGCCTTTGTCAGAGGGACAGTTGGCTAAAATTTGTTCCCAATTTGTGGGTTTTCTTTTTACCCTGTTGGTGATTTCTTTTGATGTGTAAAAACTTCTCAATAAGATGAGATCCCAGTTGTTGATTCTTTGAAGTATTTCCCACACAGTTTGATTTTTGTTCATGAACTCTCTGCCTACCCCTATGTCTTCAAGATTTCTATCTACTTTCTCTTCCAGTAGATTTAGTGTTTCTGTTTTAACATGTAGATCTTTAATCCAATTTGACTTTAGTTTGGTGCATGGTGATAGACATAGGTCTAGTTTCAGTCTTCAGCATGTGGAAAGCCAGTTTTTCCAGTACCATTTATTAAAGAGGCTATCTTAGATTATTTTTTGAGTGAATGAATAATGGATTAATACCCAATTTCTCTTTGCTGTATCAAACAATTCTAACAAGAGTTTTACAAGATTTCACCTTTATGAATTCATAAATAGCTTACATACCTGTATTTCTTCACGTTCCTTTTTATCTGGAAAAGTTCTTACAGCTGTAGTATACTTTTCAAAAACTTTACGCTCCTTTTGTAGCTTCCTCATTTCCTCTTTTTTCAACTCTTCTATTCGAGCCAATTCTTTTGCTTTCTGTTGCTCAAAGTCTGCAGTTTCTTTCCTACAATGATCAAATTATGTTATCTAAGGGGACTGTCTCAAATATATTAATCCACATGTGCACCAAAATAAATTCTCAGCTGCTCTGGGACCTGCTGGTCCTGGTGAATCCAAAAGCCTGAAATTCTGACCAAGTCATTCATCCAGTCATTCATCCAACAAGCAGCTATGGAGTGTCTGCTACGAAGCACACACACTACTAAGCAGTGTGAAACCACAGCAAAAAAAAACCAAAAACCCTTACTGCCATGAAGCTTCTTACATTCTAACGGAAGAGACAGACAATAAGCAAAGAACACAAGATACTAAAGCACTAAGGAGGAAAATAAAGACAGGAGGTCAAGAAACACGAGGGTGGGAGGCTGAAAATCTGGATGAGATCATCTTGCTGGGATGACACAGACTAAAGCCAGGTGGACTGAAGTCATGAGGCTTTCTGAACAAACACTGCAGAGGAGCACCAAGTGCCAAAGCCTGCGGGGCTCAGAGAACAGTCAGGAGACCAGTGTAGCTGAAACAGACTGAGCAAGGGACAGACAATAGGAGAAGATGTCAAAAACTCAGGAGCCTAGATTAACAGGGTCTTACGGACTCTGGCAAGATACTGGCATCCCCTACAGAAGGCTGGTCTGACAAACTGTCTTACCCAAGGTTAGCAATGGATGCCACGCAGAGCAGGGAGAAACAGGAAAGACCAGCAGAGAGATAGTGAGGAACCAAATGTCATCACAAGGGCAGGAGATGGGTACCTGATACAGCATGGCACCTCTGGGCATGGTACGAAGTGATCAGTCATACAGGAATAGAGAGCAACAGAAGACTAAAGGAGGACTCCGGAACTTCTGACCTAGGCAAATAGAGGAACAGTCTTGATGTTTGCTGAGAGGAGGAAAACTGTAATAACTTTGCAAAGGAGTATCAGAGGCAAGGAGGAGGCACCAAGACGGCAGAGTGGTAAGCAGCAGAGAAAGCCTCTCCGAGTGTTGCCTTCCAGATGCCAGAATATAGCAATGCAAGGAAGACAGAAGGAGTGAAGGGGCCAGGGGACATAGCTCAGTGGCATAGCCTGGCAAGTGCAAGGTCCTGAGTTCGAATCCCAGTACCAAAAAAAAAAAAAAAAAACTGCACAAAAAAAAAAGGAGGGAAGTGTGTCCCCTGGACCCGGGAAGGATCTGACGCACAAACTGAAGTCCACAGAGAGAGTCAAGAGAAAAGCTTCAATGAAGAAAAAGGAGGTAGTGGGTGGCACTTCTCTCTGAGACAGGACTCGTGGCGTGAGAGGAGCGGTTCAAACTTGCAGACACACGGTGACTGCTGGTGCCTCCAGAGGCCTCCACAGAGAGACGCAGCAGTGGAGGTGAACAGCGGACATGAAGGACTGCACTAGCTGGCAGGGAGTGCTGAGGGCCCAGTCATCCCACGGGAGAGTGCAATTGGCCAGAAGCCATCATGGAGAGGGGACAGCTAAGCTCAGAACTCAAGGCAGCTGGCAGCTCCACCTAGAGGCTCCGGGCTGGGCTGAGGCTCTCGGAAGGTGTACTGCCAGCTGCAGGCTGAATGAGTCTGGTCTCAGCCAGAAGGTGCAGGCTCACTGAGATTATCCACTACCCGACCAAGGAGCTACTGCTGGCTTGCTGGGATAAATCAACATGGATCAGGACTCCGCCTCCACACACTGTCTACCAGTGATGGTAGAGACAAACCCGGAAACGGGCTTTTTTTTTCTCCTTCTCCCGTGTTTGTTTTTGTTCTGGTTTTCTTTTTGTCTTTCTCTCATTCGTTGTCTGATCTTGTTTCTGTATGAGTGTGAATGTGGTTCCCAGCCTCTTTGTGGCTGTTGTTCTGTTCAGTTCTTCCTTTTATTTCTTCCTTATCTCTTTCCCTCCAGTCTTCTGCACCAGCTTCCCAAATTAGCGTGATCTCCCTTTGTCCTCCAGCCTTACTTCTCTTCCACTTCTTCTACCTCTGTACTTTTTTCCCTAACCCTTTTAAATTTTAACCCCTGAGGGTAAAATTAACATATTAAGGACTTATACACTGCATATAATTTTCTGGTTTGTTTTACATTTTGTTATATAACTACACATCTAGTTCATATGGTTAACAATGACAAATTAATGGTTACCTCAGTTTGTCATTTTCTAGGCTGTGATTTTTTTCTACTGTTATTGCTGATGTTAACACGTTAGCTAAAATGACATAATTGTTTTAAACAGCTGTTCTTCCTAGTATTCCAAGACTGAGATGGACTAAGTGTCACGAAAAATACTGTGGCTCAGTGCCAAAGAACCAGGGGCTGGGTCAAACAGGCAGCAACTTCTCATCCCAAACACACTGAAGACGTATGATCTTGCAGCAGACTCAAAGCTTAAAAACCAGTTACACCTGGAACATACCTCAGAGAAGTAGTCATTTCCTAAGAGTTCTAAATAACAGCAATAAAAGAGCCCACCACAGACAATTTATAAGCATCATCCCAGGAATCAAACTCAAAAAAGCAAAGAAAATGAGAAGACACTTAAACAAGATGCAAGCCCAGAAATCCAGTTCATCAAAGGCAAACACAGGGGCCAAAGAGGAGGGACAATCTGAAAGCCACCCACCTGGCCTCTCTGAAGTGCTAACAACAAAGCAATTGAATGAGGCTCTAGAAGAAAAATCAAACCAGAAATAACTTCTCAGATAACTACAGAGATGATATCCATAATGAAAACCATGCTCAGTGACTCTAGAGCAGATATGGACCAAAAAAATAGGAGCTTAAGAAAACTACGGAAGCCATGAATGCTCATCATAGGAAAGAAATGGAATCCATAAGGGAAATTCAAGCAGATATCCAGAATAAAAATTCCACTGAAAGTATCCACAGTAGATTAAGCCATTGTGAGGACAGGATCTCAGGTATTACTGATATTAATGGGCATGAAAAATCAAATAAGCACTAATACAATTGTACTAGAGGATCTCAATATCCTATTGTCACAAAAAGATCGACCAGACAAAAAGATCAGCAATGGAATATTAGAACTGAACCAAACTTTTAAACAAATGGACTTAGTAGATGTCTACAGAGTGTTCCACCCAACAACATCAGAATACACAGTCTTCTCAGCTGCACATGGGACATTCTCCAAAATAGACCACATCCTAGCTCACAGAACATGCTTAAGTAAATGCAAATGAACTGAAATTATCCCATGCATATTATCACACCATAATGCAATGAAATTGGAAATCAATGGCAAAAGAAATCACAAGAACTTCATAAACACATGGAAGTTAAATAGCACCCTCTTGAACAACCAAAGGGTCACAGATGAAATTAAGTAAGAAATTAGACAGTTTCTACAATTAAATGACACTAACAATACAATATACCGGAGCTTATGGGACACAATTAAAGCAGTCCTAAGAGGGAAATTTATAGCAGTGAATATCCATATCAGTAAAACAGAGTACGCTCAAATAAACAACTTGATGGTGAACCTCAAACTTCTAGAAAAAGAAGACCAGGCTAAACCAAAAGGTCACACAAGGCAGAAAACTATAAAGATCAGAGCAGAAATTTACATATTAGAGACTAAAAAAACAATACAAAGAATCAATGAATTGAAGAGTTGGTTCTTTGAAAGATTAAATAAAACTGACAAACCCTTATCCAATCTTATCAAAAAAGAAGACTCAAATCCACGCAATTAGGAAAGAAAAGGGTGAAATCACAATACACCTTGCAGAAATCCAGAAGATCATTATACCTACTTTGAAAATTTGTATCTTAGTAAGATGGAAAATGCAGAACAAATGAAGAGATTCCTAGATACACATGAATTACCAAAGCTGAATCAAGAAGATATGAAAATCCTAAATAAACCAGTATCAATCAGTAAAATCAAAGATATAATTAAACTACCAACAAAGAAAAGCCAAGGCCCTGACAGATTCGCTGCTAAATTCTACAACAAATTTAGAGAAGACCTAATGCCACTACTTCTCAAACTCTTTAATAAAATTGAAAGGGAAGCAATACTTCCAAATTCATTCCTGGAAGCAACCATTACCCTGATACCAAAACTGGAGAAGGACCCAACTAAGGAAGAGAATTTCAGGCCAACTTCCCTATTGAACACCGACCCAAAAATCCTCAGTAAGATCCTGGCAAACAGAATGCAGCAAATCATTAAGAAGACTATACACCATGACCAACTGGGATTCATCCCAGGGATGCAGGGATGATTCAACATAGGCAAATCAATAAATGTAATTCACCATAGTAACAGATCCAAGGACAAACATCATATGATCATTGCAACAGATGCAGAAAAGGCTTCTGACAAAAGTCCAGCACCCGTTCATGATAAAAACTCTACAGAAAATTGGAATAGATGGTCTTTATCTCAACCTGATAAAAGCCATCTATGACAAACCAACAGCCAACATCATACTAAATGAACAGAAACTGAAAGCTTTCACTCTAAAATCAGGAACAAGATAAGGATGTCCACTGTCTCCACTCTTATTCAACACAGTCCTGGATGGGCTGGGGATACAGCTCAGTGGCACAAGTGCCTGCCTGGCAAGCGCAAGGTCCTGAGTTCAATTCCCGGTAACCCCCCACCACAAAAAAAAAAAAAGAGAGAGAAAAAAAATCAACACAGTCCTAGAAACTTGAACCACAGCAATTAAACAAGCAAAAGAAATAAAAAGGGTATCAGAGGCTAATTTTTTATAATAACCAATTTGAATTATCAGCTCCCTCGGCAGAGAGACGTGACTATGTAGCGGGATAGTAAATGTAATCTAGAGATTTCATTTGAGACATGGCCTGCAGATGGGACAAACATTAGGGAGAATCTGGCTGTGGGAGTAGCACATTGGTACATGCTTAACCCTGAGCTCAATCCCTAGCATGAAAACAAAACAGAAAAGATACTTGAGGGGACCATGGGGATGCTTCAGTGGTAGATCATGTGTGCAGTATGTACCAGGTCCAATTCTCAGCAGCAAAAAAATACACATTTGACTAAATATTGAGAACTTCTACAACATACAAAGGCAAAAATTGAGGACTCCTGACAAAGCTTTAACATCATCAATAAATCTACATAAAAATCCTGCAATTAGTAAGGCAAAACGCCAGTAAAAAAAATGAGCAAAGGTCACAAAGAAATTTACAAGATACGACCACTAAAAATAAAAGTATACTCAACTTCATTGATAATTAAATAAATGCTATTTTTAAGAAGAGAAAAATTATTAGCAAGCTGGTAATATTTTAAAGACTGTGAATGTCAACTCCAGTGATGGGGAAAGCAGGAGAAGGAGCCTCAGCTATAGCCTAGGGCAGCCAAAGTTCTCAAAATTCACTGTGAGGAAGGTGTTTGTTTTCCTTCCCTAAAATTAACCTAACCTATATGGTGATTTCCAGCAGGGTATTTATTAACAGTCAAGATTGGAAGCACTTAATTTCCACCAAACTTACAGCTGCACTCGTAAAATACAGTCACTCCAAGGACACAGGATTCTGGAGGTGCACCAACATGGTAAGAAGTCTAGTACATTGTTAAATTAAGCCGATTAAGAAACAAGACACATAACCAAAAGCAGAGCCTGCAGCCAGGACTGGGCTGGCGCTGTGGCTGTCATTTACTGAGGGTGTGAAATTGTATAACTTTCTTAACTTCCCAGTGGCTCAGTTTCCTTCTCTGTAAAATGAGAATGTCCGGGGCTGGGGATTTAGCTCAGCAGCACAGCACCTGCCTGGCAAGCGTGAGGTCGTGAGTTCAATTCCCAGTACTGGGGAAAAAAAAAAAAAAAGAGAGAGAGAATGCTAACATGATTCCTAAGTCCAAGGTTTGCATGAAGCTGTAGACAGACCTTGGCACAGTGAAAGTCTTAAAACGAAATCCTTTATTTTATGATTTACATGTTCTTTATAAGAAAAAATATAGCTTGGCATGGTGGCACACACCTGTCATCCCAGCACTCAGGAGGCTGAGGCAGGAGGATCACAATGAGTTCAAGGTCAGTTGGGCTATATACAGTCAGCTGAAACTACACAGTGAGACCCTGTCTCAAAAAAAAGAAAAATTATATACAATTTTACAGTAAGGTAGTAGAGCACTTAAAAAGATTATCTTGGGTTTTTAAATAAATTTTCACTTTTTACCTTTTGTTACTGTTTATACTAAACTTATTTGTACAATATATAACTTGAAAAGTAAGATATTTATTCTTAAAATGATAACTACTCTTCATAATTCAATTGTTAAAACACTTGGAATATAAATACAGTAACTGATTTCCTTCATTAATGGACTACCACAGGTCTGAGAGTCTTTGTTTGGGTTATCTGGCTCCAGATGTGCGTGTTTTTTTGTTTTGTTTTGTTTTTTGTCTTTTTGAGACAGGGTCTCCCTATGCAGTTCAGGCTGGCCTTGAGCTCACTTTGTAGCCCAGGCTGGTCTCGAACTCACAATGATCCTCCTGCCTCAGCCTCCCAAGTGCTAGGATTACAGGTGTGTGCCACCACACCCAGCAAGAGGTTACTTTTAAAACTAGCAAAATTGATTGTGCGATTTTATAGGAAGTTGGTAATGGAAGGGTGCACCACCACACCCAGCCAGATGTGTTTTAGAATTCACAATTTTTCATGTTTTAAAAAGAAATACAGCACTGCTGTCAGGGAGAGGGGTGAGAATGCTAGTGATTAAGACACCAGAAGAGACATGTGGGCTGGATAATGCTTTCTTTTTTTTTTTTTTTTTTTTTTTTGGTTTTTCTCCGGTACCGGGAACCGAACTCACGACCTTGCGCTTGCCAGGCAGGCGCTTTTGCC